CGTATAAGCATTACGGAGAACGTTTGATAATGGTTTTCATTAAAAGCCAACCGATATTTCAGCGAGAAATACAGTCAATACGTCCATTTTCTTTGACGTTAAGCTCGGACCAGATGTGGACTTTATCCCAGTTCGTGGACCGACAATCTGTTGACGAACTAACCATGCTGCTTTCGTCCATCTCCGGGACTAGAAAAGCGGTCGATTCTGGTGATAGATGGCTCTTTGTGCTGTTCTATTTGGATAGACGTTATACCTTGAATAGAGTAGATTCATTATTAAAAATTGCAGATCATTACTAACACGGAATCATTAAAGGTCCGTTCAACTATCCAACTTTGACGTGATCAGTCTTGAACACCGAAGATTTTTTTAAGCTCCTGCTTTGTCCACCTGTGCCTAGGTTGAATAGTAGGAACTAACATATCTCTTATTTACCAAAAGCTTTAACAAATATTATACTAGCATCCCCTGCTTATGGAATACCGAAACGCTTTTTTCGCATGTTCCACTTTTATAAATTCTCTTGACCTTCAGATCAAAGAAGGGTAAATACATCGATTCTTCCTGTCCAATCTGAGCTACCTCGATAAATAGTAAACTCGCCCAGTAACAACTTACTTACCGTCGCCGTGAGTTATTGCTTCATTTAGATTAAAAGCACCTTGGAATGGCTGTTGCATTTAGCATTCCGACTAGCAAGCAATTCCTTAAGCCTCAAGTTTCTTAAAGTCTCGTCGCATGGGGGGATTTTTAAACACCTTCGCAGGCATTCGCAATGTTTTCACAAAAGATCATACGCTTTGCGACTTCCATTTTTACGAAGAGTACTTTGTTGGTGTCTCTTAGAATATCGTCGCCTTAATGCGGAATAAGTTCCATCATTCTTTAGAGCAAATGATAGATTGAGACCTCGGTCATTCCACGCAGGAGCAATATAAGCATTAGATATATTTATTTATTTTATTTATTTATAATAATCCATACACTGCCTGAACAGAGTGATCCAATTAACAGGCAGGGAAAAAACAAAAAATGATACATAAACAAAACTCTAAACAGTACATGATAAATAAAGACCGGATTTATAAGCACAAAATTATCAAAAAAAAGTGCTTAAAAAAGCTTCATATTTTAAAAAAAAAGCATCACATTTTGTAAAAAAAGCAAATATAAGTGGATCTTAAAATAATGCAAAATATATTTTTGTATGTATTTAATTCACAAATAAAACAAAATAAACACTTCAAAACAGTAGAAATAAAACTTTAAACACTTTTTAACAGCTTAAGATAAATATAAGATAAATAAATATAAATATAATTTAATCGTTCTGAAAACAGCTTATTATTAAATACTGTTCCAAATGCTCCACTGTCAAATTATGCCTTTTATCGTCTAAGATATATTTATACTTTGAAAAGCTCCTTTCCACGTCTACACTTGTAATAGGAGCGTATTTAAACTTTGAAATAATATCTGGATACATATTTAATTCTGGAACATTTTCGCCACCTAAAACTGACGATATTTGAACCAGTTTCTGAAATCCAATATTTTTTTCAAAAATCTCTCTCATTCTATTTTTAATTAAGCCGCCAATTTTTCCTGGAACAGTATTAATAGTGTTTTTGAAATCCTCTATTAAAGCAACTGAATCAACCAAAGGAACTTGTTGCTTTTCCAATGATTTAATAGTTTTGCTAATGCAACTGAAGTTGGTTTTGATAAAAGCCAAATTGTTTTGGAGCTCTCTATTGTTAAGAACGATCTGACACTCTTGTACTGATTTACTTGTGCTTTCGGAAAATTCAAAAATCAAATTTTTAAAATTTTGGAAATGGTCTGCATAATATATAGCGGCGTCAAGCCATGTTCCCCATCTGGTTAACACTGGTTCTGGAGGCAGTGGAATATTTGGACAATGTTCTCTAAACATTTGTACTCTCAAAGGCGCTTTAACAAATATTTTTTTGCCATTGCTGATCAACTTATTTACTAACGGAAATTGTAAGCGTATGGTTTCGGCAATACGATTGATCCCATGAGCTAAACAGGTGCAGTGAATTAAGTTGCCGTAAAAAACTTTCAAGTTTGTGGACGCCTTAACCATGTAAGAAGCTGCATCTGAGAGCATAAGTAGTACTTTTTCACTTGGTACAGCTTCTGGCAAAAAGAAGTTTGCTAACCCTTCATGTACAAATTTTGATACAGTGTTACTGTTTGTTGTGCTCAATTCTTTTGAACTAATTAAATATCCCTTTGTAGGAACCTCGTGGCACAAAACGCCTATCATTAAGTTTGCAATATACCGCCCACAACTGTCTGTAGTTTCATCAACAGTAAACCATATATAATTGCTTCCAATTATTGTTCTAATTTGTTGAATTGTATCGCGATATACAGGATAAATATAGTTTTTGCGTAAAGTACTTTCATCTGGTATATTTCGTTTGCAGTGTTTTTCCAAAAATTCTTTAAAGTGAGTGTTTTTCAACTTGTTTAAAGGAATATTTGATTTTAACATGGCATTGCAGAGATCCTGATTAAATTCTTGTTGTTCACTACGGCCCGAAGCAGATGCCATGGAAGAACCAATTGTTAGTTGTTTAAGCTTATCAACTTTATACTTCTTCATTTGTTCCGAGTGTACTTTCGTTTTCAGGTGTTGAACTACGTCGTACTTTTTAACACACACAATCTACAATAATTGAAGTAGTTTTTACTTGATGCCTGTATAAAAATTAATGGCTGATGCATCGTCCTAGGACATACAGGAAATCTCATCTCATGAAATTTTTTAAAGTATTGGATTATTTATTTTGTTAGATTAGAATACCTGCCAAACTGATTAGTGATTACATGGGCTCATTCATATTTTTTTTTAAAATCAATTTTGACCTACCTAAAATAAAGTCTAAATAGAAAAAACATGATTGTACAAATGCACAAATATGCACAAATAAATAAAAAGTGTGCATGAGTTCAGCTATTTTTGTACTATTCGCAAAATGTGGCTGAACTGCAATTATTTTTTTAATTGAGTATCATTAATTTATGAATGCAGCTACTAGTAACTATCGAAATCAATGACAGCTTACCTTTGACATTGGTTAGATTAACAATATATTTTTTACAAAAACAGCTTAGCAGAATTAGTGTTGCGAGCAATGGAACATTCCCATTTATTCTCAGAGATCGTTCGCGACTTTATTTGTGACATTTATTTTCAAGAGCATAAATCCGAACCCCAAGAATTTTAACGTTCCCATAGCATTAGCGTTAACATTAGGTATGAACGGTCCTTTAGCAACGAGACGTTGCAACACCGGATCGCCTCGCATTAGGTTGGCTGTCGTCGATCGTTGACACCAATGACATCTGACAGTGTTGGTTTTCGGGGATTTACAGATCGGTTTATTTTATGCTTTGAATTTTAAGAGATTGCATAAGTGTTTTAAGAGATAAGTGGATTGATATTATTTTTAACTTAATAAATAGAGCACAATTAGAGCGCAGACTTTTTTGATTTCAGATATTTTCCTAATATGTTTCCTTTCTTTTATTTATCTTCATTTATACTCGTATGTACTGAAAATTTTCGTTCGTGCTCGAGGAACGTTCTCGAAAAAAATTCTCGAACATTTTACAACACTAAGCAGAATGCATTCAAGTTTGGTAGGTAGGATTAATATGGGATTTTCTATGTGCTCTAGGACTAATCATAATCAATAATCATCCGGTATACCTAATGTTATGAAAAACTTACCGTTTTTATGCAAGCTTGACAAAATACTTTTCCATTTTCAATTTTTAATTCCGGGTTATCCTTGATTCAGACCTTGAGGTTAGTATAATTTACTTTTGACATCTTTGATTATTTACGCACAGTATTAGGTCACCACAATAAATTATTTAATTATTCACTTGTACTTGGAGGATCGGTGACACGGTATACGATCTGTTATTTATTTAAAATATCTTAACCATGAGCACCCTACTAGCAGCCTAGAATTGCGTATCGCACATCTATTTTTAGAATTGCACGAACACACAAACACTGATCGGGGTTTCACCAGAGAAATGGAGAAGGGAGAATGAGTTTCGAAGAGTGTGCATCATTTCAAGGGACCGCCATTTTCTAGGCAACTCTGTTCTTAATGAAATTTTTAACAATGTGAAGTGATAAAACTTTGTGTACTTTAGTGACTTCGGTTCGAATCAACGAGACATTCTGTAAATTCCTACATGTATTTCTACTAAAACCAGCATTAAAGAACTAAAAAGATACTTTTTGACTCTCTTCCGTAAGCTCACAGTAAACAAATTTTCTATACAAAACGACTACTTTTTAACACTCCCAGACAAGTTTTTACTAGAAAATGGCGAAATTTATGATTAGTTCGTTCGCGCATCGAAATAGTTATTCTCCCCCACTCCATATCTCTGACGTGTCGCGTCGCGTCCGTCCCAGTTTGAGGAGCACTTTTGGTTAAGCCTTTGAATAGGTAGAAAAAAATAAGATATTTAAAGAAAAAAGTTCAAAATAAGCGCAAATTTAGAAAATAAGCTTGAAATTAAGAAAAAAAGCAAAAAAAGCACTTTTTTTTGAAAAACTAATATTTTTTTTTATTTACTTTGTACTTAAAACGGCATTACTTATATACTGCTTACAAATTGGCGTATAAGCAAAATTGCTTAAAATCCGGTCTTTAATGATAAAAAAGACATAAATTTAAATTATCCAATTGTTAAAAAGCACCTCTTGAGATCGATTTTGGTGGAACTAAGGTCACTCGGAAACTCAAGGTCACGTTTCAAGGTCACACTTCAAGGTCACCTTTCAAGGTCACCTTTCAAGGTCACCTTTCAAGGTTGGCACAGATGGTCAGCTCTCAAAGTCGTTTAGCACCGAAGGTCGGCGCTCCCTTCTACATCTCAAGGTCGTTCACTCCAACAAGGTCACACCCACTCAAGGTCGAGAGTGCTCGAGGTCATATATGTTCAAGGTCACACTTCAAGGTCACTCGGAAACTCAAGGTCACATTTCAAGGTCACATACCAAGGTCACTTTTCAAGGTCACACTTCAAGGTCACTCGAAAATTCAAGGTCACACTTCAAGGTCATTCGGAAACTCAAGGTCACATGTCACGGTCACATTTAAAGGTTGGCACCGAAGGTCAGCTCTCAAGGTCGTTTGGCACCGAAGGTCGGCGCTCAAGGGCATAAGTATACTAAGTGACATATAAATCCGAACACCCAGTTTAAATGGTTTTATTTTAATAAAAGTTGGTGAATGTATTTATCTTACTGTAAATAACAAGTGAAAAAATTTTCAGCCTTATCAGTTGGACATTTCGGTTTTTATACTGCTTTTTTTAATTCACTAACGCTCTAAATATGAATATTTCAGCCGCAGTAAAGAATCAACGTTGGCGGATTTTGGTTCTTGACATCCTTTACGATCGGTTACGATGCCTAGAGTACGGAAACCTGTACGATTTCGTCAACTTAGTGAGTTTGATAGGGGCCGTATAGAGGGACTTTGGGAAGCTGGACTTTCTTTTCCGGCAGTTGCAGTTAGAGTGCACTGTGGTTAGGTGTTGTCAGGCATGGCTTCGAGAAGGCCGTACGCAAAGAGCAAGGGGCACTGGACGCCGCCGTAGAACAACAGACCGTGAAGATCGCCGCCTAAGATTATTGGCCTTAAGGGACCGTTTCTCCACTACCAGGTCCATTGCAAATGAATGGTTTGCAGAACACGGAAGACCTATTGGCATGCGAAGTGTTTACCGACGAATGAGAAGTTTTGGCTTGTTTTCATACCGGCCACACTGGGTCCTCCCTTTAACTCGAGAACACCGACGTAATCGCCTTGAGTGGTGCAGACAACGGTCACTCTGGGATCAGGAATGGAACAGTATTGTCTTTAGTGACGGGTCTCGATTTTGTTTAGGCATGCACGATGGTCGTGCCAGGGTTAGAAGGCGACGTGGTGAAAGGAGGAATCCACAGTTTTTTGTTGAAAGACATGTTCATCACACTGTTGGAGTTATGGTTTGGGGTGCTATAGCTTATGGTTCCAGGTCACCTTTAATCTTCATCAGAGGTAACATGAACGCGCAGCAGTATATCCACGAAGTTCTAGAACCCCATCTTTTACCCTATCTTGACACCCTGGCAGATCCAACTTTCCAACAAGATAATGCCCGACCACATGTTGCAAGAGTCACAATAAACTTCTTTCAACATAATGATGTCACATTGTTACCACGGCCACCAAGATCTCCCGACTTATCCCCAATTGAGCACGTGTGGGATATGATGGGTAGGATATTGCTCAATTTGCAACCTCCTCCTCAGACTCTAGAAGCACTTCGAGAGGAGTTGGTGGTTGCCTGGAATGAGATACCACAGGAGGACATTGACCACCTGATCAGAAGCATGCCTAGGCGCGTTGGAGAAAGCGTAGCACATCAGGGTGCATCCACACATTATTAAAGGTCAAAGGGCTTTAAAGCAGTGCAATCATTTTGAAATTTTTATCATTTACTTATTATGCTTCATTAAGTACTTATACAAAATTTTATTAAAATAAAACCATTTAAACTGGGTGTTCGGATTTATATGTCACTTAGTATATCTCTTATTTACCAAAAGCTTTAACAAATATTATACTAGCATCCCCTTCTTATGGAATACCGAAACGCTTTTTTCACATGTTACACTTTAATAAATTCTCTTGACCTTCAGATCAAAGAAGGGTAAATACATCGATTCTTCCTGTCCAATCTGAGCTACCTCGATAAATAGTAAACTCGTCCAGTAACAACTTACTTACCGTCGCTGTGAGTTATTGCTTCATTTAGATTAAAAGCACCTTGGAATCGCTGTTGCATTTAGCATTCCGACTAGCAAGCAATACCTTAAGCCCCAACTTTCTTAAAGTCTCGTCGCATGAGGGGATTTTTAAACACCTTCGCAGGCATTCGCAATGTTTTCACAAAAGATCATACGCTTTGCGACTTCCATTTTTACGAAGAGTACTTTGTTGGTGTCTCTCAGAATACCGTCGCCTTAATGCGGAATAAGTTCCATCATTCTTTAGAGCAAATGATAGATTGAGACCTCGGTCATTCCACGCAGGAGCAATATAAGCATTAGATATATTTATTTATTTTATTTATTTATAATAATCCATACACTGCCTGAACAGAGTGATACAATTAACAGGCAGGGAAAAAACAAAAAATGATACAAAAACAAAACTCTAAACAGTACATGATAAAAAAGACATAAATTTAAATTATCCAATTGTTGAAAAGCACCTCTTGAGATCGATTTTGGTGGAACTAAAAATATCAAGTTCACTTACACTATCACAGACATTACACATATCATAAAGAGGCGAAAATAACAATAAATTTGTCCGCGGAACAGGTTAACAAAATAAGATCCTCTCTAGAATAAAAGAGCAATCAATTGTTCCATTCAACAACTTACATAAAAATTTAGCAGCTAACATATTCATACGTTTGACTAAATTAGGTAAATTGTATCTACTTAAGACAATGTCATTGCGTATACCCTTTTCAAGGTCACTTGAAAACTCAAGGTCACTCGGAAACTCAAGGTCACGTTTCAAGGTCACATTTCAAGGACACATTTCAATGTTGGCACTGATGGTCAGCTCTCAAGGTCGTTTAGCACCGAAGGTCGGCGCTCCCTTCTACATCTCAAGGTCGTTCACTCCTACAAGGTCACACCCACTCAAGGTCGAGAGTGCTCGAGGTCATATATGTTCAAGGTCACACTTCAAGGTCACTCGGAAACTCAATGTCTCATTTCAAGGTCTCACTTCAAGGTCACTCGAAAAATCAAGGTCACACTTCAAGGTCACTCGGAAACTCAAGGTCGCGTTTCAAGGTCACATTTCATGGTTGGCACCGAAGGTCAGTTCTCAAGGTCGTTTGGCAACAAGATCTGATGTGTTATCTGCAAATAACATGGCCCAACCTGTACTAAACACACTTCTTTAGGCAAAATATTCATAAAACAAAAAACTATCATATAAAATTAGTATACGTTCCATTTTCTACCGTTTTTCTTTAATAGATTTCCATGAGCAAAATATTCGATAGACTCGCCTAGCGTGTATATTAAAATACAGAGAGTTGTAGCCCTCCTAAAGAGGTTCATTAAAACTTATTGGATAAGTTTTCCAGCATTCTCCAGAAACGCCTTTTTAAATTGCTTTTGTGTATTATATCGGCCTCACGCCGCCATTGTGGATTCAACTTAGGAATATTCCGCGATTCTACAGATCTGCCTCTATCGGGTGCGCTCTGTCTTGTATAGATAAAGACGTAATTTCAGTTTGCTGCGACACAGAAAGGAATAGAAAAGTTATCGTTATTGTAATGGCACAAAACAAAGCTGGCAATTTTAAAGTTTTCTTTGATATTTCGGGTGCATACTATCGTGTTACTTCGTAGCTATCTTATCTACTGAAGTAAAAATTTCTCCCGACACGTTCTACGTATAGGCAGAGCTAGAATCACATTATTTAGTTTCCACCGTAATTGACAAAATATACTAAGTGACGTATAAATCCGAACACCCAGTTTAAATGGTTTTATTTTAATAAAAGTTGGTGAATGTATTTATCTTACTGTAAATAACAAGTGAAAAAATGTTCAGCCTTATCAGTTGGACATTCCGGTTTTTATACTGCTTTTTTCTAATTCACTAACGCTCTAAAAATGAATATCTCAGCCACAGTAAAGAATCAACGTTGGCGGATTTTGGTTCTTGACATCCTTTACGATCGGTTACGATGCCTAGAGTACGGAGACCTGTACGATTTCGTCAACTTAGTGAGTTTGATAGGGGCCGTATAGTGGGACTTCGGGAAGCTGGACTTTCTTTTCGGGCAATTGTAGTTAGAGTGCAAAGAAGTGTAGACACTGTGGTTAGGTGTTGTCAGGCAGGACTTCAAAAAGGCCGTACGCAAAGAGCAAGGGGCACTCGACGCCGCCGTAGAAGAACAGACCGTGAAGATCGCCGCCTAAGATTATTGGCCTTAAAGGACCATTTCTCTACTACCAGGTCCATTGCAAATGAATGGTTTGCAGAACACGGAAGACCTATTGGCATGCGAAATGTTTACCGACGAATGAGAAGTTTTGGCTTGTTTTCATACCGGCCACACTGGGTCCTCCCTTTAAGTCGAGAACACCGACGTAATCGCCTTGAGTGGTGCAGACAACGGTCACTCTGGGATCAGGAATGGAACAGTATTGTCTTTAGTGACGAGTCTCGATTTTGTTTAGGCATGCACGATGGTCGTGCCAGGGTTAGAAGGTGACGTGGTGAAAGGAGGAATCCACAGTTTCTTGTTGAAAGACATGTTCATCACACTTATGGTTCCAGGTCACCTTTAATCTTCATCAGAGGTAACATGAACGCGCAGCGATATATCCACGAAGTTCTTGATCCCCATCTTTTACCCTATCTTGACACCCTGGCAGATCCAACTTTCCAACAAGATAATGCCCGACCACATGTTGCAAGAGTCACAATAGACTTCTTTCAACATAATGATGTCACATTGCTACCATGGCCACCAAGATCTCCCGACTTATCCCCAATTGAGCACGTGTGGGATATGATGGGTAGGAGATTGCTCAATTTGCAACGTCCTCCTCAGACTCTAGAAGCACTTCGAGAGGAGTTGGTGGTTGCCTGGAATGAGATACCACAGGAGGACATTGACCACCTGATCAGAAACATGCCTAGGCGCGATGGAGAATGCGTAGCACATCAGGGTGCATCCACACATTATTAACGGTCAAAGCAGTGCAATGATTTTGAAATTTTTATCATTTTTATTAAAATAAAACCATTTAAACTGGGTGTCCGGATTTATATGTCACGTAGTATATTATTAGATAATAGATTATATAACATTTTAAATCAATGATCATTTCATTTTGTTGACCCAAAATTTTCATGTTTATTGATCTATTTTCGTGTATGATTTACATTACATTTTGTATTTTAACCGATACACATAGTAAACAAGGTGAAAATAATGTATTTGTGACATTTATTTACTGAATAAAGGAACAATGACAGTTTATTTATTAGAGTGGCTTTCTATGTTCCCACCTTGTTCGCAACATCCCTTTATGCTTTTTCAAAAAATGCGTCGCAAATTATCGGCGAATAAATAAATAGTTGCAGGCGTGCGATAATTTCACAATATTTTACAACGCAAAAATAGCGCGTTATAATTCACTTGGTTTGATGAAATTTTAAATATGCATATGCAAAACTTTGATTTACGGATGCCGATATGAAATAACATGTAGAAATGTAGGTTTTGCGGTGACAATATATCAAGAGATTAATATAAATATATCAACACATACATGCAAAAACTCATAACATAACATAAAATAATGTTATGCGTGAATATTTGAAAATGTACAATAAACTATACCGAGTGTTGCAAATTCGACTCTCGCCAATGGGATTTCGGTAACGAAAAGGAGTATGTCGATTAAACGAGAAGAAAAATGCGTTTTATAGTAAGGAAGTGTCGCTGAGAAAGTCGCACAATACAAAGTGTATCTGAACATAGCAAAAAAAAATAATTTTTCCAAAAAAAAATATTTTCTAAAATAAACTGTACGTTACCACTTTTTTCCTCTGCAAAGTAGCATAATTGGAATTTCAAAATGAATTAGATTTTTTTCTTCAATCATCACATTTATTTTTTTCTTCATTCCATTAGCTTACCTGCGCAGTTAGGCGGTTAGGCTGGTGGAACGAGTTACCAGAGGATTCACCCTTAACGAAAGTACTGGCATCTTGCTTTTGGATGTCTCAAAAGCATTTGAGAAGGTGTGGCACGCGCGCCTCCTGTATAAACTAATCCAAAAGGGCTTCCCTTTTTGGCTTCTAAGACCACTGAAATCCTTCCTTGAAGGTAGGAAATTTCGGATCAAAATTGACAATGTCCTGTCGACAACACGGCTGATTACAGCCGGCGTCCCTCAGGGTTCGGTCCTTGGACCTATCCTTTACTCACTGTACATCCATGACGTCCCTAGTCCTAGCAACTGTGAAGTCTATCTCTATCCTGACGATACTGCATTGGTGGCTCGGTCGTGGTCTGGTCACCTAGTCCATGACAGGCTGCAAAGTGCGGTGGAGGAACTATACTAAGTGACATATAAATCCGAACACCCAGTTTAAATGGTTTTATTTTAATAAAATTTTGTATGAGTACTTAATGAAGCATAATAAGTAAATGACAAAAATTTCAAAATGATTGCACCGCTTTAAAGCCCTTTGACCTTTAATAATGTGTGGATGCACCCTGATGTGCTACGCATTCTCCAACGCGCCTAGGCATGCTTCTGATCAGGTGGTCAATGTCCTCCTATGGTATCTCATTCCAGGCAACCACCAACTCCTCTCGAAGTGCTTCTAGAGTCTGAGGAGGACGTTGCAAATTGAGCAATCTCCTACCCATCATATCCCACACGTGCTCAATTGGGGATAAGTCGGGAGATCTTGGTGGCCATGGTAACAATGTGACATCATTATGTTGAAAGAAGTCTATTGTGACTCTTGCAACATGTGGTCGGGCATCATCTTGTTGGAAAGTTGGATCTGCCAGGGTGTCAAGATGGGGTAAAAGATGTGGTTCTAGAATTTCGTGGATATAACGCTGCGCGTTCATGTTACCTCTGATGAAGATTAAAGGTGACCTGGAACCATAAGCTATAGCACCCCAAACCATAACTCCAACAGTGTGATGAACATGTCTTTCAACAAAAAACTGTGGATTCCTCCTTTCAGCACGCCGCCTTCTAACCCTGGCACGACCATCGTGCATGCCTAAACAAAATCGAGACTCGTCACTAAAGATAATACAGTTCCATTCCTGATCCCAGAGTGACCGTTGTCTGCACCACTCAAGGCGATTACGTCGGTGTTCTCGAGTTAAAGGGAGGACCCAGTGTGGCCGGTATGAAAACAAGCCAAAACTTCTCATTCGTCGGTAAACACTTCGCATGCCAATAGGCCTTCCGTATTCTGCAAACCATTCATTTGCAATGGACCTGGTAGTGGAGAAACGGTCCCTTAAGGCCAATAATGTTAGGCGGCGATCTTCACGGTCTGTTGTTCTGCGGCGGCGTCCAGTGCCCCTTGCTCTTTGCGTACGGCCTTCTCGAAGCCATGCCTGACAACACCTAACCACAGTGTCTACACTTCTTTGCACTGTAACTGCAATTGCCCGAAAAGAAATTCCAGCTTCCCGAAGTCCCACTATACGGCCCCTATCAAACTCACTAAGTTGACGAAATCGTACAGGTCTCCGTACTCTAGGCATCGTAACCGATCGTAAAGGTTGTCAAGAACCAAAATCCGCCAACGTTGATTCTTTACTGAGGCTGAAATATTCATTTTTAGAGCGTTAGTGAATTAAAAAAAAGCAGTATAAAAACCGGAATGTCCAACTGATAAGGCTGAAAATTTTTTCACTTGTTATTTACAGTAAGATAAATACATTCACCAACTTTTATTAAAATAAAACCATTTAAACTGGGTGTTCGGATTTATATGTCACTTAGTATACATTCCAGAACTGGGAATATACCTTTTCATGTTTGCTTTTTGACAATACGAGGGCTGTTGTACGATTGTGATTGACATTGAAGTCTATGTTTCATACACATCCGAGAGGATTCTACAAGTTCAAATAGCGGGAACTCTTGGAATTATTCGAATCTACATATTATTGAGTTATCAAATTCGCGAATTTATATCGGACTGTCTGTGTCAGGGTAAGGAAAGGACCTGAAGTGGACTAACGCACCAAACACGACTCGGGAGTGTTTCTGTGTTAACAGAATCAATTATAACGGCGAAGGCATTCATCAGCGCAGTTGTATGTTGGATATACCCTCATCACACCCCGGCGGACCCTCAATTAGGGGAATTACGCTTCT